AAGCAGAAAATCAACATTTTCTAAACAGTCAGAAAATCGCTGAGGATTTTATAAAAGTTGGAAAATCCTTGGCGATTTTCCAGATCGATTTTCTATAAAGTAGAAAATAATTCCAAATTACAGTGTATCAAAATCGTTTAGCCTTTTAACCAATACATCGTTGCGAAAGTAAATTAAACAACCACCATTTCTCCTTTCTCTATCTAAACGATATGATGTATAGTTTAGTATAGTTATATCATTATCATTGATATGTTTAACAAGCCATGACTCTACAATGGCTACTACAATCGGATTCTCAATAGCTACCAGAGTCTTTAGTTGATCGTATTTAGTAAGTAAGTTATTTTTTTTATTTTCCTTATTATTAAAAAATGCAGATGCTAATAAACTACGAATGTTTAAAAGAATGACTATTTGTTGTGTGTGATCGATCGCGCAGTCAGTCAATCTCTCTGACATCATAAGAAAAGAAAACTCTCAACAGTAGAACGGACCGCAACACGCAAGTAAAAAAAAGAAATGAGGAAAAAGGGATATCTTGGCGATAAAATTTATCTTGACTCTCAAGCACTCTCTGTATTGTTGAAGAGAAATAAATAAAATAAGCAAGAAAAAGAAGTGACTGGAGAATACGATGACATAAGCCATGTGCCAGCATATAATGATATCTCCTACCGTAACTGTGCATAATACATAATTCGATTTTAAAAGGAATAATTTTTCCATATTTTTTACGTCGAAGTAACTACTGGAAAAGCGATGTGAACTTTTTTTCAACAGTTTGAGCCTAAAACTGGCAAGAAAACGTGATCATCACGCTGAGAACGAAAATCTGATCAAAATATTTTTTCGAAACTCAGTTCTCCATAGTACGTGACATCTGGGATATCTGGCTAGTAATTCTTGCGCTATCAGCAATATTAAAAAAATTTCGAAGTATTAACGACAAAAGATAAATTAGTACTTCAGTCATCGCAGTTTTCCATGTAGATAAGAAATATCAGATTTTTTCTATATAAAGATATTTTTTTAATATGAAAGTTTAGCAATTTGGGTATTTTATTGTATTTCCTAATTGTAAGATCTTAAGATATTCTTTCTCTGCTCAAAAAAGTCATATTCAATAAGAACAAAAAATCTTCATCAAATTAAGTGTTGAGGGGTTCGAAATGGTCTTAAGCTAAAGCTAAGACTCAATACTATTGGATAACAGAGCTCGATTTTAGAGATCAGGCTTTTTGATGAGAAAAAAATTCCAGTAGAATCCAAATGGTACTTATTAAACTTGATATTCGCTTATCTAAAATCTTCTCCCAGTAAAAGGAAGAAGATCTGACCTTTTCAATTTCTAGTGTTAAGTGATTTCTTCGTTTTATATGTCCAGTATTTAATATGACAGATTATTAGGAAGTTCGAACAGCTTTTTTCTAGCCATGGTCGGGCGACATCTCATGAGCGCTGGTAGATGGAGCCTAGAAAGTTTTATTGTAATTATTCTTATACATGCTCAATGTCTTCTGAAAGTTTTGTCGAGATCGAATTAAAAGTAGCAAAAATATGTTTCTAATAGACAGCTCCCCTATCATACCGAAAAGAAAGATAATGTTGGATATTTTTCTTATTGATGTCTGAGCCCATCTATTTTACAGAATCTTTACCTGAAATATTTAGTCTCAGTAAACTGCCTTCTTTGATGATAATTTCTTTATTCTTATTAAATTTTTAAGGCACAGGAGTCGATAAGTAATGGTTTCTGCACCTAAAATTTCACTTTATTCGAAATTTTTGGTTACTCATGAAATAATTTAAAGCAGCTAATGAGCGTTAAATAAATTAAATATGAAAATGATCAAATGTTTCATATCTAACGCATTCTAACGATTATCAGTCGCTTCGAATTCTTTTATGATCAAAAATACCGAAACTTCGAGTAGCATGAAATAATTATGATCAGTTGCAGACTGGAGATTGATTAGTATTAATTAATATTGGTGAATTGAGAGGATTCTTACATCAATAGACAAGCGAGAATCTATTTGTCCGCCTTTGTTCAGTTGAAAATGATTTAAAACTGCTCAAAATACTACAAAAGTTTTACGGACTGACTATAATTATGCTATGCGACTGTAACAGTACCATAAACATGATAAACAAAACTGATATGTTTTGATTGAGAACTTGTGCTCCCTAAAGTGTCTTTTTGAGTTACAAGGGTTCGTCTCTTTTATGAAACCAGGGCTGCTAATGAATGTTGTTAAAATCTTCTCTAAAGATTTAATCTTACATACGATTTCTATGCTATTCCTCTATTTATCATATAAGAATCTTATAAGAATGCATGAGACAGTCGGTGAAAATGTGTAAGATATTGACAAGAATCTTATGTAAGGAAATGATAAGAAAACTATAAGGATTGTATAGAAAAATTCTATGGCAATCTTGATGGGAAAAAAACCAAGAAAAAGGTTGTTTTCGTTACAATAGAAGCAAAATTCACTTTGAATTTTGAACTTTTTTCTAAGAATCTCAAACGATATAAAGTATGGAAACCTTACAAGAATCTTATATGACGATAAGATTTTCATACTTCATCATGTAAGAATTTTATCAATATTTTACGCATTTCCGTTGACTGACTTATATAAGATTCTTATAAGATTTCTATAAAATTGCCGTAGAATCGGACGCCTAGTATTGCACGTCGCTGTCAATAGGAAGCTCGGTCCACATATATGCTCTGTTGAAATTTCATAAAACATTCGAGATTATATAACAAATGTGTCTATAAGTTAGCGCTTTTCCAAACTACAAACTTCGTACGACATCTACCGCTTATTCATTATAGTAGCAATATGGTGTCGCAATTTTCAAATCTTATATTCTATAATTTTTCTTCGTTAGTAATTGAAATTTGTAATTGAACTATTGGTGTTTCAGATTAAGTAATTTCATCAAAAAAGTACAATTTATATGGATAATCCATCATTACAGAAACAAGTAGAAACATTACGACAACAGCTGAAAGTCGACAGAGTGCCACTATCAAGATCATTGTCGGAGTAAGTCAGAAGAGTTTGCTTTATTTAACAAAACAAGAAAGAAAGCAAAAGAGCTTAATTTTTTTTCAATCAAACATTCTGAGTTTCCATAATACTCTTCTCAAGTAAACGATTATCGTCGATATTATACGGCGACGATCCTTGGTGATTGTTTAATTACTGTCTGCTTACACATTTTTCTACGTCATCAACTCATCATCATGCAATCAATTTTGTCTTTTTCTCATCAATTGTTTCTAATTTTAATGTTTTATATTAAAAAAATGGTTTTTCCACCTATAAACCAAGTGTTTATCTTCACATTGATAGATGAATAGAAGTGCTATAATTTTACTTTTCTGCAATAAAACAATATTTCATGATGCACAATCTTATCTTGATCAGCATCAAACATCACATCTAATATTTTCTTTTTTTTCTTTATCACTACCATCACCCGCGTCGATAGATGTTTATTTTCTACACTAAAACCGATGAGACAGAGCAGCGTGCATAACAACTGAACATATCTTTGTGTGCTCAGAAAAAAGAAAATATTCTTTTATCCTGATTCTTTTAATAAACAATAATCATCACTAGATGAAGAGAATAAAGACGAGGGTTTTTTTCTGCAAAAAAAGAGAAAAAATCCGGAATAATACTGTCTATACGAGTATAGAAGAGAAAAACGGTCTCGTCCGTCAATGAATGTATTTTTCTCTATGATTATTATTATTAGTAGTATGTACCAGCACTCTTCTTTCTTTTTTTTTGCAATACAAAGAACTTATATTCTGCAAAAGAAGGAAGATTTTTTTTCTACCACATAAAAAGAAAAATAAAGTCGTTGAGAGAAAACAACGCATTCCGTATAACGGTTCTTTTACTAGGAGTCGAGTATAATAGGTCCAGTTTAAACTAGTTCATTTTGAGAACAAAGAAAAAATACAGAAAGCGCGTGACTTTAGGTTTTTTCAAAGCCGCGATCGACGTGTTTGATAGAAGAAGAAGAAGAAAAAGAGAGAACGTGTCAATTGTATGATCGGGTATTTTTTTTTTTACTACAGTATGTGTATAGTCAACATATGTACAAATAACAGTCGAGACACATAACGCATACAAATGTTTTTTAACTAAGTAAATTTCTTTTCTTGTTTTCAAGAACAAACGTTTTCTTTTTAAAAGTTTATTATTAGTAATAATTATTAAGTATAATGGACAAAGGTTCGTTACAAAAACAGATTGATTCATTGAGATATCAACTACGAGTAGAAAAAGTACCACTATCAAAAACGTTACAAGAGTAAGTAAACTCGTTTTGCGTTATTCAAAAAAATCAGTTTTGAATCTACATAAAAAGATCGAAGATTTTCAGAGATATACGAACTATCTCTCTCTCCCTCGGAATACATCTCTCTTCCCATTATATAAAAATCTTGCCAGAGCACCTCAGATTATGATGAGAATTTGGAAACTCCTTGTAAATGGTAAGAGATTATCAGGTCATTAAGACTAAGAATTAATCTTACTAAACTATCACGTCGCAGTTCTCTTTTCAGAAAGTAATTACAGAGTTTTTCATCTTTTTTTCGTGCGATCGCATCAGAGATGGAATTCGGTTCGAGTTTTTTAAAATTAGACCGAGCCGGATCTAACTGAGTCAATTTCTAAAAGATTTAAACCGAATTGGATCGCATCTCTGGTTCGTACATGAGTAGAAGATTTTTTGAAAATAATTCTACTCAAAGGCTGTCATATGGTGTCTTTTATTACTATAAAACTTAAACTCCTCTATTTCTTCGAAATAATGGGTTGTGAGTGAGAAATTTCACGAAGATATAGTGACAGAACAGACACTTAAAATGTCAAATTAAAATTTCGCCACGTGCTTTTTCTTCTACCACGTGCTTAATATATTTTAATATAACACGTTAAAAGCTGTTTAACATAGTCATTTATAGAATATACTTTTTGTTTACAAATCTAAAGATTTCGAAGAGTATGGAGACGTTTCAAGATGTACAACACAGTTCATTCTATAGATGACCACGTTGGAGAGCTCTATGCGTATCTCTATTCAAGTATATACACAAGTACGAAAAAAGTGTGATGGAATATTACTCTAGAATTATGCGGCTAAGCCAATAGGAGGCACATAAAAACGTATCTTCAACTAGAAAAGCTAACAAATTCTAGACTGCTGTACAATTATTGGTTTACAAACAACGCTCTCCTGAAAAAATAGGATTATGCTATAAAATGTTGTCCGAATGACGAAGTTATCGTAAATTGTTTTGTTCTTCATCGGAAATCATCTCTCAATAAGCGTATGAATTCCAGACCATTCTTTTACGTATATGATATACATACGCTGCCATCTATGATTTACAGTTCTCTCATATACTGCAAAGTATTCCTGATGCCTTATCGACCATTAATTTAGGCAATCAGGCAAAAAATGATAATACTTGAATAAGCAACAACTCTCTCTCTCTCTTCGGACATCAAAGCTGACATAACGATTTGTTATGCTTAAATTGGTTGGGTAATAAACTAAATTTATTGAATTCTGCTATATCAAAAAAGTGTTTAAAGTATCGAATAGATATAACTAAAATAAAATCTCAACATGTTTGTTATTGTTGAAGTTATCATTCTGAATGAGAATGGATGATTAGCAGCACACAATCGTTAAGATGTAAAATCATTAATCTCTAATATCTATTATCTATTTAGGTTGAAACGATATATTCAAGAAAATGAGCCGACCGATCCATTAATTCATCCACCAGATAAAAAAAGTAATCCATGGGCGGAAAAAAGTAAATGTGTGGTATTATGATTTTTTTCAAACAACATCTATCAGCAGACAATGAAATAACAACAACGTTTTCGGAATGTGAATGCTGAATTCTGTCGTTTATTCATTATTGTTATTCTATTCTCTCATTCGTTTTATATCGTCTATACATATATTTTTCGACGTACCGTGTGCATGGCTTCATATTTTTCCTTGCCCAGATTTCCGATGACTTAAAAGTGCCTGATTCTCCGCGTGTTCAATATTTTTGCATTTAACGTACAAACGTTGTGGCTACAATTTTATTTTTGTTTACTGGAACATATGTCTGTGCCGATTTTAACGCTTTCAGTAATGGTAATATTGGACTCCTCCCGATACACGGTCAGATTGTGTTTTAAAAGCAATGTCCTTTTCATTTTTTTTCTCTAATCCAAGAATGACTTCTTTCGCAAAAGTACATAGTCGAAGATTATCATTTGTGTTCATTATTCATTTTTTACTTTTTTTGTTTGTATGCGTATTTATATATTCTTGTAGAAAACAAAGTCACTGTGTAAGCGCTCTGTATGTGTACGTGTTTGTCCGCAAATAAACAAAAAAACCCTTTTTTCTAGCTTGTTCAAAAAATAGTATATTAATTACTATTAAGATTTGAAGTACACATTTTAAATTGATTTATCTTCATAATCATGTACCCTAACCTTTTCCATCGTTCAGGTTATGCAGTTGAAGACACAGACTCAGTTCTTGAAAAAAAAGCTTATCAGCGTAGACTTTGGGTCTAAAATGTAACTCCTTCATTCAAACGTGGTGGACTAAGATGGAGCTAGATGAAACCTATACCACGAGTGCATACGTTTACATTAATTTGTTTTAATTTTATTATGGTTCTCTGTTAGCTTGTCCGCGTATGCAACGTATATTCAGTATTGTCAGTGGGTTAGCATACGTCCGCAAGCATTAGGAGGAGAAGGTGGATAAAACTTTGAGATTTTCAGCAATTTCTTTCTTTACAAACTTTCGTATCTTCTTCCTCTTTCAGACGAATTCAGGGAAGAAGTTACACAAAAATCGTTTTTGTACTGAAAAATTTATTCCAGGATATCCAACTTCGATTTCCAAAGTGTTTCTGATTTTCCCTCTGCAAGTAAAACAGTTTTCTTTTTCCATGAGTTCTAATATGCTTTTCTATTCGATCACTGTAGAAACTACTCTCTAAGACTTTTGCATCGACGTTCGTTTTTCTTTGAAAACATTTAAAAATTTAAAAAAAAAATTAAAATGACAGTGATTAAAATAACTGATGCTAGAATATATGTTAATTTAACACTAAAGTAAATACCGAGAAAAGAAAAAAAGCTGTGCTGAAATATAGTATCAGCAGTTTAAATTTTTATACTTTACTAATCATTAGTAGATTACTTGATGCTTCTGGCGTATAATCGGATATTAATTGTAGAGAGACTGTCAATGCTAGTAAATAATGATTGTTAATGTTATTTTTTCACTACTATCCAGAGGCAACCAAAGTATATATAATGTTAATTTAAAACAGAAATTTTTTCTTGCAACTGTAATCATACTAACTGATCGAAATGTCAACAATTTTCGACGTTGTTGTAATAACCACTGCCCTAATCGACTGTTTCAGACAACACCAGTAGATATCTCGGAAAAATCAAAGACCTACAAAAACTCTTACTAAATTCTCATAGACCTCTGATTTTGCGAGCTTCCTACAGAGTCTCTAGAAGTATTTCGTGAAAATTACGCTTTGGAAAAACATAAAGCATATCACCGAAAAAAAAATAAAGTTAGTTTTGAGTTGCTGCATTAGCGCAAAATCGACTTTTTATACGGAGAACACAATCGGTTCAAATTTTTTTCAGAAGAGCTTATTATATGAATTGACGGTCGCAAAGTATCTTTTGATTCAAATCACTTTTCGCAATTTGGCG